ATACTGGGGCTAAGCCTCGAACTCGGCCCTCAGTGTCCAGGCCACCTCACCACCCCTGCAGTCCTAGTTCTGGGACTGCCACTCCAATGGCCTAGGGTAGTTGGCAGGGCGGGGACAGGAAGGGGCGCGGCCGACCCCTTGGGGGAACTCACTGTACTTCTCATTTTAGAGCAGAGGGAAGAGAAGCAGAGCAGGGTAGCAGTGGGGGTGGGGATGGCGGGGCCCACTTCCCACATGTTTGCCATCAAAGGCCTTGGAGGAGCATGGCACTCAGCAAATTAGGACACGTGTGCCTTGTACCCTCCAGGCAAAGATCATGCTTCATAAGATTCAAGAGATGTGAACCCATCTCTTCCTCTTCCACCAACTGCTTCCACATAGCCTTCCCTGGTGCAAGCTAATAATACTGTCATGGTGACAGCTATGATTTAATGGAGTCTTGCTATATGCCAGGCATTATGCTATAATGTCCTTTACGAGCCTTATCTGGTTTACTCCTCACAATAGCCATATGAAGCAGGTAACGTGTCCCCATTTCACAGACAAGGAACCTGAGGCTCAGGGCATATAGGGAACTTGCCCAAGGTCATCCAGTCAGGTAAGTGGCAGTGCCACAATGAAACCCAGACGGTCTGGTTCTAAAGGCAGTGGTTTTAGCTACCATATGCCTGCCCCAAGGCTTCAAAGAACAGAGGTGGGGGGCGGGGAGCCTCCTCTTCCATTGGGGCTGCAGTGGTAGGAGGAAGGTCCGTAATAGCCAAGCCCTACAGATGCTTACAAACGGAGGGGTGCCCTCACCTTCCCGGCATACATATCTGAGGAGGTGCCACTCGGGCAGACAGATGGATAAAAGGACCCCTGTGCAGCCCTGTTTCTACTTCTTGTCCCCAGGCCCTTGCCCCACTCTGCCCTAACCATGTAGTTGGAGCCCGGAAACAGAATGAGGGAGAAGAAGCAGGTACAGGCAGAGCCCCCAGCTCCCTTGGGTCCATCCACCCCTCCCTGAGCCATAGCTTTTTTTGCCAAGTGAGTCTGGTCTGAATAGGCTCGAGCTCAGGACTCCAACCAAGGGCCTGTCTCCTGGAGGTTGGGGTCCCTGCCATGGCTGATAGTCTCAGGGCTGGTTGACCTTGAGAGGCCCTAAATACTAAAAACTTATAATGCTGTCTGTGTATAATTCCAAATACAAACACAAACACCGCCCACCCAAACCCGGAAGAAAGAAGCCCCACGAGAAAGTCATATTGGTGACTTTTCCTAGGGATGGATGGAGACTGGGCGGCTGCAGGAGAGGGCTGGGAAGGTCGTTGGCGTCTCCCTTAGACCTTTTTGATTGTTGCAGCATGGGCATGTATTACCTTTATAGAAATAAATACATTGACTGGGAGACGGCAATTTCTAGGAAACTGCTGAGGTGCTGGGAGCGCTCTACATCTTGCTCTGGGGGGTGTTTACATGGGTATTAATGCGAGGTTCATCAGGCTGTATGCTTAATATTCATGTACATTATGCGTGCCATACCTCAATAAAAACGTAAGGAAAAATAAATAACAAAGTGTTAAAGCCCAGCAAAAGTCTGTTTTTCCTATGATGACTACTATGTCATTTTTTTTTTTTAAGATTTTTATTGGGGAATTAGGGGGATGGGAACAGTGCTGGGGAATTGGGGGAAGGGGAACAGACAAGTTGCTGTCCTTTTGTTCTTCAGTCTAGTTGTGGAGGATACTATATCATTTTTTGAAACATCAATTTTCTCCCCGTTAAAAAAGGGCTTCTTTCCCCCCTCTCCCTGACTCCTTCTGGTACCCTGGGGGACTTGTTTGCATTTATCGTGTGGTCTAACACTGACTACCTCTTCAGTCTTGGACAGCCACACTGAAAGACCATGAACTCCTTCCCACAGCAAGGGGCAGGAATAGCAGATGCAGAGTCGGCCTCACCACACTGGCCTTGCTGGCCTCTGAATGTCCAAAGCTTAGCAGAGTGCCTTGCACAAAGTACATGTCTAATAATCAAGTTCATTAGTGCACATACATGGTCATAAGTCCAGCTCCTGGTCCTACACATAAATCCCTGGCCTCTCATATACAGATGCGCACACACACACACACACACACACACAGTCCCATTACATGCACCTCATCACCCATGTCCATCTATACACATACCTGGTCCAGTGCAAATACCCACATGGGCACACCACCCTGATCACATATGAAGTTGCAGGTCCATGCTTGGCACTGAACACCCACTGCACCACAGTCCCAAGCCATTCTCTTTCTGGGGCTTAAACCCACTTAGTGGGAAGAAACTAGCTAGGCACCCAGAAATTCCTGACCCATGGAAGAGGCAGGAATTTCTCTGAAGAGTGACAAGCCAGAAGATGGACAGACACTAAGGTAAGATGTCTCTGTTGTCCTTTAATAGGAAAATGAATGAGAATCACCTCCCTTACCTTGGCACAAGCGCTCTGGCATTTGCAGAGCTCTGGCATACAATCCTATGTGGGCCTCAGACATCCTTGTGATGTAGGAGTTATTTTCTCCATTTTTTTAAGGGAGGAAAACAGGCTCAAGGAGACTGAGAGTTGCAAAAGTTAAGTGCCTAATAATTCAGAAGAGAAAATTATTCACTTGGGAAGCAGGGAGATAAAAAGTAGAGATGGAGATCAACAGAAAGATAGGGAGTCTAGAAGAGAAAACCAGGCTAAATAATCTCTAGCAAGTTATTGCGCTTCCCTGAGCCCCAACATCTGTACCTGATAAATAAGTTTAACAATATTTCCCAAATATTGATACAGAAAGCTGATATGTAGGGTTTTAGTGCCAACAGCTTTTACATTACAAATTTAATCCACATGCCAAACCCATTTAGTAGGTCTTATTAGCCCAAGTCTAGACATAAAAGCTAAGGCTCAGAGAAGTTAAGTAACTTGACCAAGGTCACAAGCTAGTGACTGGGAAGGTGGACAAACCAAGGCTGTCTGGTGCCAGAGCTTGTTGCCCCTTCCCGTACACCAACCACACGGCTGGAGCAGGCTTCAGTGAGGGGAGTGGGTAGGCACTGGCACAGCCCCCCGGGTGGAAGCCGGAGGGCTGGTGCTTCCGCAGAGGCAGCACTGAGATAGCAGGATCAGCTTGAGCAGTGTTGGGTATGAGCAGAGTGGTGTGGCTGCAGCAAAACTGCTGCTTTGAGAGGCTGCGACCTGTTGCAAATGATCTTACAAGTCCCGGATGAGGAGCCAAGGAAGGATTCTGCACCAGGAAACCACCTGATAGGAAAACGGCCATGGCAGGAGTATGTAAGGGAGCAGGGGCCATGAGATAAGAATCCTGGATAAGAACCCTATCAGCAGGGCTGACAGCGACATGTGCACTGGGGGAGGCAGTGCAAATGGAAAAGGCAAAATGTGAGAAGCAAGAACCTGCAGGACTCAGGGGCGACCAACCTACCAAGTCACAAACACTCCAAGCAAGGTCATTACCATAAGATCCAAACTCCAAGTCCCGCCTGGCCCTGCCTCCCTCTCCACCGGTTTACCCTGCTTCGTGCATGGTCCTTAGGTGTCGTTTCCTACAGTGGGGCCTCTGAACTCACCATTCTCTCTGCCTAGGGGCACTAGGCTGGCTCTTCTCCACCACCCAGGTCTCAGCTCACTCTTCTACTCCTCAGGAAAGCCCTCCCTGACCCCTCCAGCTAGTGATGTCATTGGTACCCCGTCATTTGCTAGCCCATGAAGCTATTTCATTTTCTGTGTAACACTTCTGAGAATCAGAAATTACCTATTTATTGGGTTCTTTGTATAGTCTGTCACCTCGTCCTCCCTGTCCGATATAGTATTGCCAGCATCTTAAACAGTATCTGGCACATAATAGATGCTCACCATGTGTCTGTTGTATGAATGGTGCAGGGGAGGGGAGTGAAGGAGAACTGAAAGAAAGTGGAATGAAGGCAAACTTTCTTAGGTTTGCCTTTCAGACACGTTATGTTTCGGGTGATGTGGGCTACCCAGGGGGACAGGTCCTAAACAGACAGCAGCAGCAGGGAACCAGAGGGTGGAGAAGTGCAATGGTGAGAATAAATACACATCTGTCAGAGGGAAAGTGCTAGAGAAGGGGAGAGGCCCCTACAAGGAGCATGAGTGAGCCTGGAGTTCTTCAAAATTTAAGGGTAGGGACAGGAAGCAAACCCAGAGCAGGGGGGAGCAACAGATTGCAGTCCTGGTCACACACCTGTCAGGAGTGAGCATGAAACATGCCCCTCCCTCCCAAAATAACAAGAGACTGTGGCACCCAGGTGGAGCAGGGGACTTACCCACGGGACAGCATCTCCCCAGAGGGATGGGGGAGTCACAGGCAGAGGGCCACAAGAGGCACAGCTGTGCAGTGGCCCAAACCAGGTGAGGAAGAATTCTTGGAACTCAGCTACTTCTTCCACAATGCTGCCTGCCAGGCCAGTGGAACTGCAGGGACAAGCCTCTGGAGTAAGATCCCAGGAAAAAGGACAGGTGGGGCGGGGCTGGCCTCAGACCGCCCACAGCAGCCTGCTTCACCCTCGAGCCCTACTCCTCCATTGGGAGGGAGTGCAGGGCCCGCCTGTCTGTCCAGGGCGCCCTTCCCTTGAGAGGGGAGGAGCCACCTGGAGCTCCACCTGGAGCTCTAGCAGACAGGGCAGCAGGAGGGCGGGCTGAGGCAAAGACCAGGAAGTAACCCTGGCCAAGTGAACACCAACCAATGGGGGAGCCTCTTGGTCCACAGCCACCAAGAGGCCTCAAGAAAAACCCAGGAAGCCTCACTCCTCAGCAAAGGTGCCGTCTGGGCAGGCCCACCCACCCAGGGTGTTGAAGGGCCTGCCCACCCTCCCACCCTGCCATGGAGCAGGGCTGGGCCCAGCAGGATCACAGGAAGGATCTGACCAGGAGATAGGCAGCTGGAATGGCAGAGTGAATCGAGTCAGGAGGTGGGTTTGGTTGTCAGAGTCACAAAAGACTGACGCTGAAGCTAAATCACAGGCACATTTATTATCCTCCAGGGCACCGAGATCTTCCTTTCCTGGGCAATGTCACAGGGGAGGCCAACCCTCAGGAGGCCGCCACACTGCCACCTGAAGCAGGCCCATGGGGTGGCAGTGTCATGGGAGGCAGGAACAGCGCCTTCAGCTTCCCCGACAGGCTGGCAATCTCAGGATCCTGGGCTTCATAAGACTTGACCAAGCGGGCAAACTTAAGGACACCTGTAAGGGGGAGTGGAGGTCAACCCATACCCCTAGGGGATGGGGGTGCCCAAGACAACAGGAGGGGACAGCTTGAGCATAAGTCACTGGCTGCTCCCCTTCTGGCCAGGTAGTTATCTGCAAAACAAGATATGCAGGCTTCTGCCCTGTGGGGTTCGGATCAACCACTTCCTGGTCTACACCGGGCACAACTAGCTGGGATGCAGTAAATGGAAATATCCCAAAGCAGTGTGCTTCTCACTATCAGGTAAACCATTTTAGCAGTTTAGTCACAGGAACCCAAAGTACAAGCACCCATGAGATCCCACATCTATAACCAGGGCACAGGAGGGCCACAGGCCAACTGAACTGAATCAGTAGACACCCTTGGGGAACACCATGATCTCATCAAGGAAACTGAACTGCCAACCCTCAAACAGGGTTAGCTGCAATGCCTTAGAGGGGCTGCAGAAGCGTACTGCCATGCATTGCTGACGTCTCACTAAAAGCTATCAGAACAGGGTTCAGGTCCAGTTGTGCTGTGACCTCAGGCACTTAGTTTCCTCATCAAAAAAAATGGGATAATAGTATAATTAATGGTAACTACAAAATGCACTTAGGACTTCACCTGGCACAAGTTCAAAGTAGACCCTGAGCTCTCAGTGCCAATACTGTTAGATTGTGGCTGCCGCCGTGTGGCGAGAAGGGGGACGACGAATCAGGGACCCAAAGGATCCAGCACCCTTTCCTAGTCCGACCCACCTTCCCCGTCGCAGCTGAAGCCATAGGCTTTGATAACCTCCTGCTGAATCTGCGTGGCCACGGGCAGCACGAACTGCAGCATCTTGCCCATGTCGTTGCACGCGTTGTCCCGAGCCTCATCCATGCGCACGGCATTCTCCGGAGCTGAGAACGCCTGGATCACCTCGGCCAGGACCACTGTGCGGCAGATACAACCGGGTGAGACGTCCCGGGTTAGGCATCGGAGCATGGCCGGCGGTCCCAGTGCAGGGAATTAGTGGACTAAAGCCACAGTAATCCGATAAGCACGGCCTCCATCACTCGCCCCAAGAAACCCCTCTTAAAGAGAGAAAAATGGTTGCCCCGCACCCCACTTCCCGGCGCCGCAAGCATATCTCTCGCCTCGCATCCTCCGCCCGCACCCTCTCTCATCCTCCCTCCAGCAGGCAGCCCACCCCGTGATTAGAAACCTCCTCACCCTTGGCCTGTTCGGCGCTCAGGGGCGCAGGTTGGGCCGAGGCGGACGCCATGCGGCAACAAACGTTACACGTGCAGCAAAACCAAAAACACAATCAAGAAAAGAACCTCTAGGAAAACGGACCCCTATACTACTGAGGGTGGTGTAACTACAGCTATAACCGGAAGCGCAGTTCTAATTATTCCATTGTAAGCTCTACAAAATTGTAGAATACTTCAACCTAACACACTCAGGTAAACTAATATAACGGGGAAATCAACGGTTAACTCATTTTCTATTGTTAAAAACAGGCTACGTAATTGGGGGGGTCTTCCGGTATAAACCGGAAGACCTGCTAGACAAATTCAAAAAGAGCTGTAAGCACTGCAGGAAGTAATCTGGAGAGAACATGGGATAGCTATGAACTCCACTATTAGTGAGGGTGAGCTCAGTGTTTGTTTGCTAACTCCTATAGGTGTAACAACGATGCATACTCTTAACTTTCACAAGAAAAAACAGTATTCTAAAGAATTTACTTATAGCGTTCATTTCTAGAGTTTGTGAACGTTTGATAAGTTTATGCAAATAAGATCGATGCTCATTGGCTGAGGGAAGCCAGTCACACCCTTTAGTTTTTAAGAACGCAGACAGTGATTCGCAGCAATAAAAGCTTGGAGCTTTTGGAAAGGGCCTTGTATATAGCGGTGTGTGCTGCAGCGTAAAGCCTTCTGATTTCTTTTTTCTTCTAGGCGTTTGAAATTGTCACCTAATAGCTCCTCAAACCATTAGGGTAGTTAGGACTCCTGGGTTCTAATCGCTTTCATCTGTTGAAACCACTAACCGTGTCTCAAACTATTCTATGGAAAGGATTCAGGGCTGGTGGCTCCTAGCTGAGACCAGTGGCAGAAACGCCTCAAAAGCCTGAGTAGTTCCCTAGACCTGACCTTGGCAAAGGCGTGCCTGTCCCAGACCTCCAGCATCCTGACTTCCTCTTCCCTGACTTGGAAGGAGACTGCTCCGGTGGTACCCCCTCCAACTCTCCAGGGTCCCTCCACCCAATTCCTTCAGAAGGCCCATCCCTATCAACTTCCCTGTTGGTCTCTCTCAAGACCCCGCGCAGATTCCGCCCCCATAGCCCGCAAAGAACGAGTCACAGCCATCTGTCTGGGGAATCATGAGGATGTTTTTGTTTGGTTGGTTTTGTTTGGGATGTTTTTCAAAGAGCGTCATATAGATATTTATATATATAAATTATTAATGTGGGGCAGGGGCAAGGGGCATACATTGCAGAAGGGGCGCGCACACAGGGACTGGGGAGGGGCTGGGGCGGCACACAATGCTACGCAAAAACAGCCACATCTAACAGATGAAATAATCACACCAACGGGGTGGGGGAGGGGCGGTGGCCACGGGAGTTGGGCATGGGTGAGGAAGAAAGCAGGGGGACAAGGAAAAGGGACCTGGTCCAAGATACTGTGCGCTTTCTGCCCCCACCCCTGCCACCTCTCCACCTCCACACACCACAGGAGCCTTGGCCTTCCGTCTGTCCCTTCTTCCCTCCCTCTGCCCAGCTGCCAAGGCCCTGCAACTGAGCAGCAACCCTCCACGCTCTGGATGGCAGGCTGGGAAGGAGGCCTACAAGGTCCAGATGCAGGGGCCATAGGTGCTCTCTTGATTGCAGGTTCTACAGCGGCTTGTCACTTTCCTTCTTCAGGTGACTGGGGGGAGAGGGGGTGGAGAAAGAACATAGATGAAAGACTGAGGTCAAGCCTGACCTGGCCCCTTTCACAGAGGACAGTGGAGGAGGAACTGCCTCCCCCAGGAGCCTAGTGCCCAGTTATACCATGCCCACACCCTGTCCCAGCCTGGCAGAGCTCATGCCCCCTCACTCCTAGCCTAGGGGTGCCCAGTAGTACCTGTAGTAGTCCTCCTGGGCGGGTAGCGGCACACTGTGCAACGGGTGATGGGCGTGCAGCCACTGCTGCTGCTCCAGTGCCAAGCGCTGCAGCTCAGCGGACTGCGCGTGCATGGCCTGCAGCTGGTGAGCTGCTGACATCGGGGCAGAGAGGGAAGCTGGCAGGTCCCGGTAAGGAGCAGCTATGGGCAGGAAGGGCAGGGGACATGTGACTAATGGGGTACTGAATACCGACTCTGGGCCAGGAAATAGCCAGTCACTTTACATATAAAGAAAACTGAGGCTAAAATAGTTAGGCAACAGCCAGTCCTGCAAGTTGCCGGCGGTGGTGTTAGGATTCAAACCTCTTAGCCTGACACTAAAACCTGTGCCTCTCTTAGGCAGGGCCTCGGCCCTCCTATTCCCATTCCCAGCTCCTTTGGGCAGCATTTCACGCCAACCCAAGCCCAACTAGGCCAATCCCACCACCCAATTCCTCCTTTCTTCCCTTCTCTCATTAGATCTTCCTCATCCCCAACCTCCATCCTTACCAAAGAGCTGGTGACGAAGAACTTCATTCTCGTGCAGAGGGTGAGGAAGAAGAGGGTTGGGGAGGGTCCCAGCTGGGTAGGGAATCCGGGTAAGGTGAGACCCTGAGGCCAGGGGGTCAATAAGAGGGTGCACCGAGGCAGAGGCTGGAGGGTAGAGAAGAGGAAGGTGTCACCAGAAGGCAGGTTTGGGGGAAACCATGCATGTGGGTGGAGGGGTCCCAAGTCTGGGAAGAGAGATGGAAAATCAAACAGAGAGATCCAGAGGAATGAGGAGGCACAATGGAAGAACTAGGGGCTGGGGATGGATAGCATAAGAACCTACTGGAGCAGGGACATATGAATGGCAGGACAGATTACAGTTGTCAGGGAGGTCTGAGGAAAAGGAAAGAGAGAAATAGATTGCTTAGAGGAGATGGAAGAGAGTAGAAGGTTTAGGAAATGAGACAGGAACAGATAGGAAGTTAAGGGAGAGAAAGCACAAGGGAGACTGGAATGAATATAAGGCTAGATTAGGCAATAAGAAATACAGTGTAGGGACAGTAGTAAGTAAAGCTCATTACCACCTACGATGCCCAAAACTAAAGCTACAAGGCTGTTTCTGAAAAGGCACAGATCTAGAGATGGGGAGAAACATGAATGACCTCCTGCTGGGAGAAGAGAAGATGGCAAGAAGTCACAACAGAGTTGAATCCAGAAGAGCAAGAAAACAGGTATGTGACGGGCTGCCAGAAAGGGGCTGTAAGGGTAGAAAGGTGGTGCTCCTTCAAAGGTTTCCAGCTTGAGCACATCTACCACCTTGAGAGGGGGCAAGGGGCTGCAGGTCGGGTGGATGCTGGACTCTGAAAGGGGTGGAAGTATGGAGAATAATCTCTGTGGCAAGGCTAGGGCATTAGGAGACAGGCTGGGGGATGACAGGGAGGCAAAGATCAGGGCAGCGCTCAGGAAAGAGGCTCATGCCAGACTAGAGAAGGCCAGACTTGAGAAGAGCCCAATCCCTTGCTGGGGGGCAAGGTGGCCTCAAGTGGTCCAGGAAGGAAGTAGGCATCTCACCTGCATGGATGGCATCCTGCTGGTGGAGGTGCAGGTGAGAGTGGATGTGAGAGTGCTGGTGATGATGGGGGGTCACATTGAGCATCTGCAGTCGGGCCAGTGGATCATTGCCCAGGGCTGCCACCCTTTCTGCGTGCTGCCTCTCAGCTGCCAGACGCTCCGCGTAGGACATGTCAGGCCGCAGGGCTGGCCCAGCGGCCAGCGCTAGACGCTCTCTCTCCAGGGGCCCCAGGCTCGGGTGAAAAGGGAAAGGGTGCAGGCCAGGGGGGCCAGGCTGCAGAGCCAGGCCACCATGTCGGGGGAAGGGATCCAGGCCTGGCCCAGGAACCCCATGTAGGGGTTCCAGCTCACTGGGCTTCACCTCGAAGCCAGGCTTGAGGCGGTCACGGAGGTCTCGTTCACGGGCTTCCCGCTCCCTCTCCCGGGCTGCTGGGTCACTGCTGTACAGGGCTGGGACATTATAACCCAGGAGCCCTGGGTCCACTGCCCCCAGGGGCACGTAAAACGGATGGTTGCGATTGCCAGGAGACATGACGTGGGGCCGGGCATATTCACTAAGAGTGCGCAAGGCTGGAGTGTCGGGGCCCAGGTAGGGGGGCACTGTAGCCACAGCACTGCCTGGCTCAAACGGAGGGCGATGGGGCACTGGGCCGAGAGATGGGCACTCCACTGGAGCACGGCCCTCCTGAGCCAACTTCTGTGGGGTACAGGGAGAAGAGCGGAGTCAGAAGAGCAGTGCTGGAAAGAGGTGACCGGTCTCAAGCTGCTCATTTGTCTCAGCAGCTGAGTGCCAAAATGCAACATCTTATTGGAACTCAGCCTAGTAGGAATTTCCATACCCCCTTCTCCGGAATAGTGGTTCTCCCTACGATCCACTGGTAGTCTGACCTGAGCAGGCCTTCCCCCAACCCAGGCATGCAATGATGCCTCCCTCAGGAATCCTTTGGTCTCCGTTTTCTGGGCTGCAGCGCTTCCTCCGCTCCGATAGGAGGCACAATGACTCCCCGCCCCTTGAGCCTCCCTGTGCGGCGCCGAGGATCAGAAGACGGGCGGCGCACATGGTGACGTACTCACCACGCTCCGTTCCAGCTCGCGTTCCTTCTCGCGCTCGCGCTCCTTCTCGCGTTCCCGCTCGCGCTCGCGCTCCTTTTCTTCGCGCGCGCGCTGCTCCGCCTCGCGCCGCACCTTCTCCACCAGGTCGGCCCGCTTCTTGGCCAGCTTGGAACCCTCCAGCGGCACAAAGTACAGGTCGCTGCGCGCGCACGAGTTAAAGCCGCGATCCAGGTGTTTGTTGAACCTTCCGGGTGCGGAAGCAGTGCGCGCTCAGCCCCTGCGAGCTGCCCAAAGCCAGCCCCCGCAGGCTGAGGGGACTAGGCGAGGGTCTGCAGTACTTTAAAAAGCATCGCGCCAACGCAAGCCCCACCCCTGTGCCTACTCCCTCTTTTCGTCACCACTGTTCTCCAGTTCCCCATCCCAGGTCCGCCCCCGCCTTACTCACCTTGCTGACTGACTGGCGTGGCTGGGCACATCTACCACCTTGGGAGGGGGCGAGGGGCTGCGAGCCGGGGGCACTGGGCTCTCGGGCGTTTCATACTCTTCAGCCGGCTCCTGTTTGATCTGCGTGGCACTCAGGGGCGGCCCCGAAGTGGGGGCCGCAGGCGGTGGTGGCAGGGATGACAGGCCTGAGGGCCCCGCAGGCGGCAGCAGCCCAGGCCCCACGGTGGGCGAGCCTGGCTTGAAGGTCCCTGGGCCTGCGGGCGGCGAGGCGCCTCGGTAGCCTGGTGGGGTCCCAGTTCGGAAGGAGGGTGGCGACCCCGGCTTGTATCCGGGTGGGGTGGCTGTCTTGTAGGCCCCTGGGGACGGGGCTCTCTTCCCATACGGTGGGGGCCCAGGTGGGGAGGCCGTTTTGTAGCCTGCTGGCGAGGAAGCCACTGTGGCAATGACTGTGGAAAGTGTAGCCGAAGAGGTGGTAACCGGAGGCACCGGTGGGAAGGGGTAGGGCGCCCCTTGGGGGCCCTGGGAAGGAGAGGGGTGTGAACACGGGTAGGACCCTTGAGAGGAAGAAGAGTTGGAAGAAGCAGCTGGGGGGCCATTGGGGCCTGCTTGGCTGTAGGACACCTGGCTGTGAGGTGGGGGCAGGTGTGCTGGCCCTGGTGGGTAGGACCTGAGAGACCCCAGGGAGGGAGACATGGCATAAGGGTGTGCATGGTGGGAACTACTGCTCTCCAGGGGGTGGGGATAAGCTCCAGGTGGAGGGGGCCCAGAGCTCCCATGATGCTGCTGCTGCTGCTGCTGCTGCTGTTGCTGCTGTTGCTGGTGGTGATGGTGATGTGTTGGGGCTGGTGGGTGGGCAGTGGACTGGCCTCCAGTAGAAGGAGGGTAGGGGCCTGGATGGGGATTGCTGTTGGCTAAGAGGCGGCCATAGGGAGGAGGTGGGGGGGGACCCTGGCTCCACACAGCCTGGGATGGGAGAGAAGGCTGAGTATACTTGGGTGGCTGATTGGAGACAGAGAGGCTTGTCGGCGGAGGGAAGGAGTGGGGATAACTGGGCAATGCCTGGGAAGCTGGGTACTGGGAAGCAGACGAAGATGAAGAACTGGAACAGGAGGCTGCTGCAGAGCTACCACTAGAGGATGAATAAGGATACCTCATTGGGGGGGCTGGGGCAGAAGAGGAGGAAGCAGGGGGCAGAGGGTGGGGTGAGGGAGCAAGAGTGGGGCCCTTCTCTGAGCCAGGAGGAAGTCCACCCATGCCCTGCCCCATGGCATGGGGAGAGGGTAGATGCCCAGGTAGTGGCTGGGCCCCCAGGCCAGGAGGAGAGGCTGCTGCATTGTTAAGGGGTCTCAGAGCAGGTGGGGGAGGCAGATTTGGTGTCACATGAGGGAAGGTGGCTGGTGGTGGAGCAGAGGGTAGGTTTCCACCACCCACTGGAGTGTTAGGCGGCTTTGTTGGGGGAGCACCACCAGCCCCAGAGCTTGATATTGAAATGGGGGTGGTGGGTGGGGGGTGCTGCTTACCCCCACTAGGGGCCCCTACTGAAGAGGCAGGTCCTCCCCCCTTGGGACCCATTGCAGGTCCAGATAAAACTCCACCAGCACTCCCAGGGTAGAGCTGTGGGTGAGGGGGAGGGGCCCCAGGAGGAGCCTGGAACATCCGAGATGTGGGGGGCTCCATGGGAGCATGATATCCAGTGGGTGTCACAGAAGGATGGGGTTCAAAGCCAGGTTCTGGCTGTCGGGGGTTGCTGTCTGGTGGTGGAGGGGAAGGAGGAAAGAGTGGAGGTGGGTGGTAAGGGCGGGCAGGGCCCTGGGACAGGCCAGAAGATGAATCAGAGTCATTCTCCACACTTCCAGGGCTGTAGATGCTGGGGGACGTGCTTCGGTTATCCTGGTCTATATCCCTTGGGTCACTGCTGCCATCATCATTGAGGCTCCGCCCATCTAAGCTGTCCAGATCTGAAGGGGACTGTGGCCGAGGAAGCTCCTGCTACGGAAAAGGGAGGGCTGTTTTCCCCTTTTCCTTGCCTTTCTTGCTTCCCCTAGGTTTGGGGCTCCCCTTGCACAAAATCATTTCCCCCTCATAGCACACCACTGAGCCACAATGTGATGAATACTCTTGCTGAAGCCCATTCCCCTGCTATCTGGGGATTCCCCCACTCTCGCCACATTCTCAACTGCTCCCTAGCAGCCAGTCTTATTTCAATACCTCCTTGTAAAACCCTATTCCTTCCTCAAGTGTCTCAAGCACCTTCTACTCATTCCCAGATGAACCAAAGTCACTGTCTTCCATCAACTCATATCCACCCTCTCAATGCCTTTACCCCTTTAACATCCCAGAAATCCTTCGTTCTTAAAAAGACCACTTCTGCATTTTCCTTATGAGTTATCTGTTCCTTCTACTAAGACTTTTCATCCTTAGCCTCCTCCCCAGCCCCTTTCTGAAAAAATCAAGACCTAGAAAAGAAAAGGCTAGAATCCCTCATACTCTTCCAGTTCCCCTGCTTGGTCATCTAGTGTTCTGGCCAATGCCCTAAAGATCTGTCTGACATACTATATACAGGGCTACTTTAATAAGCACTAGCATAAGACTTTTCTCTCATATTCCAGGTAAGATTAAAGTAGGAATCCTGAATGCAAGGAAATGTGGGAGAAAGAATGGTCAGAAGATGGGTCAGGATGGCTGCAAGGGTCTCTCACCTCAGTTTTGGTCTTTTTTGGTGCGTTGGTCTCCTCACTTTCACTCTCTGAGATCTCCTCACTCCGGCCCTGCTTGCTGACCTTTGGGGTGGAGGCTTCCTCTACTCGGGCCTTCTGTTAGCGAGAAAGAGAATTCCTGTTTTATACCTTCCAAGCTTCCACCATTACCCTCTGCCAGACAGGAAGTAACCCCCACAATACACACACATATGTCCTCAGCCCCAGTGCCTGGGCATCCTGTGGGAGGACCTCAGGACAGAATACCTTGGCTGTCTGCCTAGACTTCTCGGCTTTGCCATCACTGCTGGATGTGCTGACCCCTCCAGGGGAGGCCCTGCCCCTTGATCTCAGTTCTTCCCGGGGCCCAGGGGCCTCTTTCTTCCGTCCACTCCTCATTGACATCTGAGGGAGAAGAAGGGGAACAGATAATATAGTTTTTCCTTTTTTACATTGCACCTAACTTTATGATTTGCCTTATTTCTATTCTTTCTCTCCAGGCCCTTCCCCCTATCTTCCCTGCCCCTAATCGTTCATGTCTTTCATTTAAGCTGTTACTCACTGAGTCTTTATTCTGTCTTGTCTTCATTCTTCAGGCTGTGGAGACCCCATTCTCCTCTGCCTGGGCAGCTGAATACAGAAACTTCTCTGCTTCACCCCAAACTCCCCACGTCTGTGGCCTGGGAAGCAGGAAGCAGGATCTCCAAGTTTGCAATGTAGGCACCTGGAACTTGCAGGATCTGTTTTCAGTGAAGCCTGTTAGAAAAAGACCATCAGAGCCTCCAAATTGGGGAACAGAGTCTGAGGAGGATACTACTGTGCTTCTCAAGGGGCTGAGCAAGTGGCCCAGCCCTAGGCTTTTGGGCCAAGAGGTACAGGCCCCATAAGACATCGCTGGCTTGCCCCATGGACTACCCAGCTATCTACAAGTGAAGGAGACTCTGCTTACAATGTCACCTCTTTTATTTCTGGGGAAGGCATTAAGCTCAGATGTATCTATGAGCCCCAATTCAGGAGATAGCACTATTTTACCCTTCATGATCCCTAGGAAATATTTGTGCACACACGAATTCCAGAGAGCCTCACAAAGGAGCATAAAGAAACACAGTTGAAATATTAACTTAGTTATTGAGTACCTTCTTTATGTCAAGCCCTTACATATACACAATTTAATATTTACAACCAACCCTGAAAAGTAGGTGTTCTTATTACTCCCATTATATAGGTAAGGAAACTGAGGCTCAAAGTTTGTGATTGTGACTTGCCAACTTCATATGATGAATACACAGGGAGGAACCAGTGACAGCGCCAGAATCAAGCCCACATTTCCCTGACTTCAAAGCCCATGTTCTTCTATACTTTGCTACGCTATACTCTTGTCAGAAGTTAGAGAATCCTCAGAAGGCCTAGATCAGTCTCAGAGACATGAAAAGAATCTTTCTTCCCATCAGAGTAGGTAGGAGAAGAATGTCCCATTCTACAATGCAAAGGCACACAACCCTACCAATCCCAAGACCAAACCTAGGTATCCCCAAAGTGCAGAGCTTCATTTTTGAAAGCCTCATAAAGACTTCTTGGGTTCCTGAAGGCCAGAGAAAAAGGCAGGACTTTCATTTTACCAGCCAAATCAGCGAATATCAGTGAGCACACAATACAAATTTATAAATTTGTGAGCCTAACCTCCCACTTGGCTCAGACGGAGACACACACCTCCTAGCCTATCTATATATCTATATAGTCAACTATTTTCATTTGCACTTGTTTGTATTTCTTGCTAAGCGTCACATCTTTCCAGACCGTATGATCTTTCGAGAGCAAAAATGTTCTTTTTACTGTTTTATTCCTTTCTATATGCCCCACTGATGTCATGTATATATGGGTGTTCAGTTCTTGTTCTTGACCTTGAAACCCACTAACTTCTGTAGGTCTTCTTGGATGAAAAGCTTCTAGCCGTGGTGGGAACAGAGTAAGCTTACCTGCCTGTTCTGAGTTAGGAGGCCTGGCTAGATGAATGGCATTTCCACATTTTAAAGCATATTTTCCCTAAGGAATACAAAGTAATTCTCACTCACCCTCACTGAACCCTACTGAGGCAGGCAGTGAGGGATGAGCCTAACCTTTCCAGAAAACTTAATAAGAATTTACTTACAGTCACAAAATAGCTGGGACAGAGTCCAAGGCCTTCTGAACTTACAACTGATCCACTGCCCGCTAAACCAGCCATTTTTCTTCAACTACAACTATTACCACATTTTTGAGTTGTGTAGATTGATTTTAAAATACTGTCAACTCAAAAAATCCAAAGAACAAAAGCCAAATAACAAAAGGGGAACACAATCTTAAAGCACAACAATGACTATTTGTGACTGGTATGTCTTTGCCAGCCCCTCTAAAGAAGGGTGCTCATCTGTCCTCCCCAACACAGAACCTGCTTACCAAGTCATTTAGAGCTCAGGGATCCAAAAGGTCAGAGAAATGCAGGAATGTACCTGAGAAAGCCTAGTGTGCCCCTCCCCCACCCAACTTTTTTAATCAGCTGAAATCTGATAAAATAAGCAATGAGTAGCTTTGAAGGAGAAAAAGCAGTCATAAAAGGGTAGGTAATCCTGTGGTAAGGAGGGGCAGGGGGAGCAAAGATGTTAGGGTTGTATTTATGTGTCTGAACCAGGGGCATGTTTTAGCACTAGCAAGCTTAGCTATACTCCATCTTGCCCTAGTAGCCAGTCACTGTAACTAACATTTATAGAGCACCTACTATGTGTCTAGCAACACACTAAGCACATTCACCTTCACTGCCTTACTGCAAAGGGAAAATGATAAGACCAGATTGGGGAAGTGGAAAAGTAAGAAATAGGAAAAGAGTCTCTAAGTAAGAACAGGAAGAAATATGAGGATGTCAGAGGGACTACAATAGAGGCACAGGCTTTTCTGGGAAGGGCTTGAAGGGTGAATTTCAGGATCATTGGCCCATCCCCCATCATCATTCCAGACCTGCCAGACTAACAAACCGGTCCAAAGAGATTCCTAGATAACAATGCAGCCCAGACCAGCAGATAACAATGCACAGGCCTAAACCTCCAGGGAATCCAGGATTGTCAGAGGGGCCCCAGAAATTATCTATAACACTTTTATTTTACAATGAAGCCCAGGCTCAAAGAAACAGAAGTGACTTGCCCAAGGTCACAGTTAGAGGTATAGCCAGGACAAGACTCAGTTCTCCAGGGTATTTCCACTGCACCAAGCTGTTCCACAGCCCTCTCTCCCCTGGGCCACCCTCACCTGGGATGGGCTTGGAAAGCCCAGCCATTCTACAAGGTCAGGGATATAGGTCAAAGGTTAGCTGAGGGAAATGGTCACTGTGGCGAGAAAGAAGATTGGGGAAGGGAGACTCAAGTTTAAGAAAATGAAAGAATATCAGTGCAAAGAAGCAAAAAGACTACTGTATGCAAAAAGTCCCTAATAATAAGGGAGATGGAGTCAGAAAGAACTACCAAAACATGGTATAACTTGAATAGAGCATTTCCATGCTCCCATCATGCCTAGGGGGAGGGACTTGGAGAGACCCTGATGGGCAAGTAACATATCTACCTATGTCCCACAGACTATTAGATGGAAAGGGGTGGACCCCCTAGGAAACCTATCCACCAGCAGCACCAGAAACATCCTCCAGAACCCAGACAGAATCCCAAGGACATAGCCAAAGGCTGAGGTCCAATCAAGATTCTGAACCTCCACCTATTGGACATCCCACTGGATCATTGCCATGGTAACGAAATGGCAGAAACTGCCCCTCAAGAGTCTATCCCAGGGGTCCATCTGCCAGCCACTCCCCCTCCAGTTGCCAAAGCAACTCCTACCCTCCTATAGTACCCTCAGGGAAGAGAGCTTAAAAATACCTACCCCAGTAGAAATAAGCCCATGTACAAATGGAAATCTTTGGAGCTCAAAACAGCAATGAAGACAACCCCCCTTCCCCCAAAACCACAGCTAGAGGGTCAGTGGGTGCTCTGGAGATTTGAAGGTGGAGGTGACAACTTGACTGGAGTGCCTATAAAATTGCCCAATTCTCTCCTCTGTTTCCACCCTCCCAGAAACCCTTTCTCCTTAACTCTCCCTTCAATGTTCCTCCCTCCTCATTAGTTTTAGGAGGACCCACATTACGCGGCCCCAGTGTACTCCTTCCTCTCCAAGAAGTAACTATGCCTGAAATTGGGAAAAAAAAAAAAAAAAAGACTAGAGGTGACCTGGAGTAGGGGAAATAAAACTGAGTCACAAAGGCATTTCCTTACCACTTCACCCGGGGAACACCTTGGGGTCTTCTCAGAGGTGGACTTCTCTCTTTGGCCCTTTCCTAGCCTCTGTTTCCCCAGGTTCCGTTCCCTTCCCTCATCAGCTACAACCCCTCTCTACCCATCTACCACACCCCTTCCCACTTCCCACTTCCCTCCCATACCTAGCATTCCCAACCCTGGGCTCTGAAACCCAGGTTCTGGGCCTTTGGGGCTTTTCCTAGAGCCCTCATGCCCCACCTCGCTGCCATCTCTCCATTCCTTTTTGCCTTAGCCCCGAAGCTCCCTCACAGGCATCCCCGTTTTTCCTCTGCTAATCTTCCACCTCGGTGTTCCTCTTTTGGTCCCGGGGTCCTGGCTACCCTCTTGCCCCATCAGCCCTCCTCCTGAGACCCTCCCACCTACCCCCACCTGCCCGATCCTCTGGGTGCCCCCGGCCTCCACTCCTCCACGGGAGCCAGCCCCACCCCGAGCCCCCAGCTTCAGGCCTGGCAGTGCCCGCAGTGGGGGGACCGGAGTGGGAAAATAACAAATGGAGGCGGCGGCGGCGGGAGGGGGAACAGAGAGGAGGTGGGGGTGGGGAGCCGCGGGCCCGAACCCCGGGGAGCCCGAAGCCCGGGCGGCGGCAGATCTTACCTGCTAGTGCTCCGGACCACTGGTTGGCTCCGAGCGCGATTCGGGGCTCCGGCGCCTCCGGGGGGCGGCGGCGACCGCTCCCCGCCCCCCTGTCCTCTTCCCGGCTTCAGTCGCCGCCGCGGCGGCGGCGGCGGCGGCCCCGACCACCTCGGAGGGCAGCCCCCATCCCCCTTCCTTCCCCCAACCTGGTCCCGATCGCCCGCCGGCACCCGGAGCAAATCCCGATCCCGGCTCTCGCTCAGCCCCTCCCAAGGCCCGCCGCCTCCCCCCGGCCGCCCGGAATGCACGGGCCGCGCCGCCCGCCCGCGCCGCTCCACTCGCCCCCGCGGCTCGGCCGGCCCTCCGCTCTGCTCTGCCCCGCCGCCTCCCGCCCGCTGCCCGCGCCGGCCCCGCGCGGCCCGCACTCGAGCGATTCCCGGCCCCCTAAGCGGCCTCCGCCCGCGGCTCCCGCCCCTTCCCGGTTGGTCGTCTCCCTCGCCCCCTCTTAGCCCCTCCCCGAGCCCAGCGGTCCCCCAGTAATGGGTCCCGGCCCCAGGCCCCGGCCCGACGCGGGGCTGCGGGCGGGCGGGCTGGGCGGCGCGTCCAGCGACTAGCACAGGAAAGCGGCCGGCGAAGGGAGGGAGCCTGGGAGAGGGGGATGGGAGAAGGGAGGAAGAGGGAGAAGGAGGGAGCGCGGAGGAACGAGGAGAGAGGGGCCAGGAGGGAGACGCGAGGGAGGGAGCGCCAGGCAAGCTGCGAGGGGGGGAGAGAGGGGGATCGGAGAGGGGGAGGCGCTGTGCGAGTTGGCCGAGACCGAGGCCGAGGGGGCCCGGGGCGCGGGGAGGGGTTCGCGGAGGCGGAATGTGGGGAGCCCGCTGGCCTGGCGCGGGAGAGGACTAGGTAGGAGGGGCTATGGGTTTTAAGAGCAGATATGGGGGAGGCAGGAGAAGTTTGGGGGCAAAGGGGTCTGTGGCAGAGATGAGGTGGGAGTTTGTGGGTATGTGGCAGAGATTGGGGTAATGGGGTGAGATTGGAAAGATGGACCTACATGGGGGCTTTAGGGGCAATGAGGTGTATATGACTAGGAGATGAAAGAAGCTAGAGGTGTGACGGTCTGTGGCAGACATGTAGGGGGAGAGTTTGGGGAGACAATTATAAGAGAGATAGGATGGAAGTTTGGGGTCATAGGAGGGGAAGAAATTGAAAAAAATGGAGACATATATAGGAAGATGGGGTTTCTGGAAGAGAGTAGTATGTGGGGGTGACTGGTGTTGGGAAAGGAAATATAAGAATTTGGGAGTGATGAAGACAAGCTGGAGAGAGACAAGTCCAGAGAGGTCAGTTTGGAGAGAGACCGGGAAGCGTGAGGAACCTTAAAAAGGGATGATGGAGGTGGAGCCAGGTGCATTTTCTAGGGAGGCTGGGGTTCTGGGTAGGAAAAGAGGGTGGAAGACACAGAGATGGCTGGGTTCTGGGGGTGGGGGGATTCCAAGAGAGCTGAGGATGATTTTGGTTGGCAAGACAAGTAGATACAATGGAGTGGGGGTGGGTAAAGATTGGAAGGAAATGTAAGACAAACAAGGCCTTTGGTGGCAGTATGGAAGGGGAAGGTCAGTGATTCAGAAGACAGAGTGGAAGGCAAAGCAGTAGAAGGGAATAATAGAAATGGGGGAAGGCAAGCCCCAGTGTAGGTGAGGGATTAATTTATAGGCGTGGGACACCATCCTCAGGCCCACTTCTCTGGCAGTGTCTCCATTTTCCTTCTCAAATCTGTTTGAAGTCATCACCGATGGCACGTTGGGCCCCAGGGAAGGGATTGGGTGGGGATTAGGCTCAATGCAGAGCCAAGTCCCTAGGTGCCCTGTTTCCCCAATCCCAATCCTTCTAATGTGGAGACAGTCCCCACCACAGACCAGGCTTCCTTCTCCCCCACTGCCAGTGGCGGCCTCTGACTCTGCCAGCCTTCCAGCCATTCCCAAACTTCGGCATTGAAGCCAGCACCCCCACCCGTCCACCACCAGTGTCTTCTTCTGGGCTGGCTCCCTGGCCCCACACCCAGCAGCAACATCTCCCAGGACAAAGGACACCAAGACACTGGGTGATTTTTGGCAGGCTAGATTGGGAAGGCCAGAGAATGGGAGGGAGGCAGGCTGGGAAACAGGAAGAGCTGGAGCTGGAGTATGGATTGGGAGCCCTCAATAGCGCTCCAGATTTGAAGTAGGGGTAGGGTATGTGTGGGGCCAGGCCACCTAGAGGCCAAAGGTGGGCCCTCAATGGCAGGATCCCACCAGCTTTCCGGGAAGGAAGTAGGTTAACTCTGTAGCAGCTTGGTAGATTTCGGCCCATTATTTCCTTGGGCCAGGCTCAGCCAAGTTCTAGGAATACCCAAAAGCTCTAAATGGATTCTAAAGCACTGGGGACCCTGAACAAGAAGGCTTCCTTAACCTGGGAAGGAATCACCACTCTAGTCCTAGAATTAGTTGGCACTTTACCACCCATGCCCACCTTCCTTATCCCTCAAGGGCCTTCAGGAGACCAGGCCAGCTCCCTATCCACGCCCCCCCCCCTTCTCCCTCAGTACCCTAGGATAGCGCCTGCTCCTCCCCAACCCCTAACTTTGTTCCAAGACTCCTCCTTCCCCCTCCTCCCCTCCCTATTGCATTTCCTCTCTTTCTGCACTTTTCAGTTCAGTCTCCCACTGGGCCCTGGCCCAGGCCCTTCCTAACTCCCTTCCAGGCTGAATTATTCTCCCTCATTTTTTTTAACTACTAAAGGGATGGGTTAGGATGGTCATATAGCTCAGCCTAAAAGACAAATTTAGGCATAGGTAGAAAAATGGGGAGCAAGAGGAGAGAAGCCAGGGCCTACCCTCTCCAATTCCTCCCCTACCTGAGGGCCAGGCTCATAATTCAGCTTCAGGAAGCATCAAACACACACGCACCACCACCACCACCCCTCACCCCAGTTCCCTTTCTGGCCCCAGCCCCCCACAACCCACCGGTCTCCAGGCAACGGCACAAAGGGAAAGTAGAGAGAGGGGCCTGGGAAGCCCAGGCAGAGCTAGCTGTAACCCAATCCACCCAGTACCTGGGGTGTGTGGGGGGGTGGGGGTGGGGGGGGGTGGGGGTGGGGGGGTTGGAGTCATGGCTGTCAGAGAAGGTGACTTAGCAAGGATGGGGGAAAGGGCAGAGGTTAGGAAATATGGCTCCAACCAGAATCAGCTTGGAGTTACTGAAGATGGATATAATGGACCCCAGAGAAAACCAAGAGGCACAGAGGAAAGTACAGTGTGCCCCAAGGGAAACAGAAAGGGCGCCAGGAGACACAAGAGAGAAGGGAAAGATGAGATGCCTGTATTGAAATGAAGCAGCACAGAGAAGAGGGGGCAAGAAACTCTGAACTGAAAATGACTGAGGTGTCAGTGACACAGCAAGGAAAAGAACAGGGACATGGGTCCTTCCCATGCAGAACTGGAATCCTCTTCTAGTCCTGGAGCTGAGCAGGATGGCAGAGGGAGCCCAGGACCAGAACTCAGAGTAGAAACAGAGTGGGAGGCCCACAGAGGGAACAACCTTGAAATTCCTCCCACCCTCCTTGAGCCAGGCTTCAGTATGGTGTCCTACAGAACCTTGACTCCCTCTAGTGGCCACAGCTCCCCACAGGTGGTCTGTGCCCTTGTACCCAAAGCAGTGAGGGGGTTTTCCCCCCCACTGGGTGGCTCCTGGGTTCCCATCTCAATGCCGGGGCTCCACGGGAGCTGAAGAGTTGTAGTGGGTCTCCAGACACACACTGGCATCCTGCCCACAGGCTGATCCACCCAGGGGTCCTGTTGAGCACTCCAGGTCCTCAATCTCCAGTTTACTGGAGCTCTTTCCTCAGGCCCTCCTCTACACCCCCAGTAACGTCCCCAGTCCCCCATCTTGCAGGGGGTGATGGCCACACAATGCTGTCTCATCCCGGAAGCAGCCAGGATTTTGTCTGGGAGAGGCCCAGTATGGGAGCTACTCCAGTCCACCAGCTTTATCCCTTCTTTGGCCAAGGCCCTTTAGGAATCTGAAAACACTCTGGACTCCTTTCCCCAAAAATGCATGTACACACAAAATTTTGGATAATTTGAAAAATTATTGGACTCCAGGTTAAAATCCCTAATTCACCTGGGTCCTGTGGCCATGCTTGCTGCTGAAAAGGCAGGGGCAACACAGACCCCACCTGGCCAGGGTGAGGTAGGCAATGTCATCATCTTGGCCATATTTGTTCTGTTTGTCTTCCTCCATTTGTGCCCTCCCCAACTCTGCTGTCCAGTTTCACCAACTTCCTTCTCGGTGCTCCATCTTCTCTCCCCTCATATGGACTACAAGACTCCTCAGACACAATAATGCACGGTGATTTTAATGGTGGTGCTCATTTCAACTCCACAGGGGTGGTGGCAACTGTGGAACATGGCACGGGGGAGCGAGACGTTGCTCTGGTGCAGCTGGAGGAAGAGCAGGGAAGCGAGGGCCGGGGAGAGAGTTCTCAGGGAAGAGCCCCCAGGCACACAGCCCCGCTTCTGGGGGGAGCCAGGCCTCAGTGAAGGGTTGGAACACACAAAGGAACTGCCAGCAAGGCCCTTTTTTCTGTTACCCTTTGCATTCCAGCAAAACCTCCCACCCCACGCCATCTCGGAATCTACAGCCACATGAAATACAGACATCTAGTCCCCTCCAGCCAGGCCAGTTTTTGGCTCTGGAATTATGGGGAAATGATTAACTAATTAACAGGATGAATGATAAATAAATAAATAAATAAATAAATAAATAAATAAATAAATAAAAGGCACACTAAAGCCTTAGGCCAGGCATGACCACGCAGCCAGCAAGCCCCTCTACCACAGCACCATGCGGTGCCTGGCTGATATACAACACGGAAAACACATGGAACCAGCACAAGTGACACATGGCCCCTCTCTAAACACCTAAACAAACAACTCTGATGCTCCCGTCACAGGCCCTGATCATTCCTCCATGGACCCCTTTATAATCCTCAGTCCCATTGGGCCAGTCTTTGAGGAGAAAGAATAGGAAGGAAGAAGTGGAGAGTGTAGAACCCAGAGAGGGAGAGCAGAGAGAGCAGGGGCGGGACAAGCCCAGGAGCAGTGCAGCAGGTCAGCCAGGATGTCTGGGGTGAAATAGCACAGATCAGGACAGGAAGGGGCTCCAGGAGGATGGGAGAGGAGGTCCAAGTCTCCAGGCAAGTAGAAGGATCACAGCACGCTGGGATTGCGGAAATTGTGTCCAGCGAAGCGAGCTTCGTCCCCTAGCTCTTCTTCAATTCTGACAGAGATAAGCCAGAAAGGAAACGTCAGGGAAGTAGGAGGATCCCACTTCTCTTTCCAGGAGGCCCCCAGCCTCCAAGCCCCTCATTCCACCTGCTCCTGCATCCTGACCCAAGCGTGCATTCCCTGGCTCTCCCCTGTGACCCATGGGATCCATCCATCAGTGAACTCATTTTTAAAAACCAAATCTTTTCTGTATCTACTGTTCTCCAGGCCCTGGGCACTGGAGATGGAAGGGTGGGCACACAGAGCTTTTATCTCTCTGAGCCCTGGGCTCCCACTCCCCAGGTTCCCTCACCTCATGAGTTGGTTGTACTTAGCCAGACGCTCAGAACGGCACGGGGCACCAGTCTTGATCTGAAACATCCCAAAAGATAAGCAGCTCGGTGGCTGCCCCTTCATTCCTTGAAAGGAAACTTAACACTCCCTTGAAATTTCCCTGACTCCCTTAAACACATGGAAGGAGACCCACCTGAGGCAGAACCCACCAATTCCACAAAGATCTCCCTTGCACTCACCTGGCCTGTGCACAGCCCCACCACCAGGTCTGCGATGAACGTGTCCTCAGTCTCTCCTGAGCGATGACTCACCATGACCCCCCAGCCATTCTCCTGGGCCAGCTTGCACCTGTATCCATACACCAGCACTGACCCCCGGTCCCTCACATAGGGTATTCTCTTCCCAGCCCCAGCTTTGGTCTATGCTAAGAAACATCTGGAGAGAAGCTGGGAGGGGAGTAGAGAATCAGGGATGGAGGGAGCAAAACCGAGAGCTATGAAGGTGATTCCAGGTTCCCTGCTCTCTTCAGCATTTGTGGGCAAAATCAGGCTTACAGCCCTTGCAAGAGGGGTCCTGAGAAACAGGGACTGGGCAGGAGAGAACCAGGAAGCACTCACGCTTGGATGGCTTCAGTGACTGAACCGATCTGGTTGACTTTCAGCAGCAGACAGTTGCAGGCCTTTTCCTCCACTGCGCGCTCAATACGCTTTGGGTTGGTCACTGTCAGGTCATCACCCACAATCTGGATCCCTACATTGGCTGTGAACTTCGACCAGGCAGCCCAATCATCCTGGTCAAAGGGGTCCTCAATGGAGACCACTGCAGGGAGAGTGGTGAGGGGGCTGTTGACCCTCCCTGGGGCTCTGGATCAGGCAGAGACAACTCCCTTTGGTTCCCTGAAATGCCTATATCCCTTAGCTAACAGAACCTGCTCATCTTTGCTCCCCACCAAAATCAGCCTGCCCTAACTGATTCTTACCTTGATTCTTTCATAAAACCTTCCCAAAAAACCAAGGGCTTAGAACCTTTCTCACAACCTATCTTTGCATTTTCCTATTTTCACTACCAGGAAGCCCTTCCTCATTACTAATCAAAATCCTCTGTTTTTCTTGCACTGTCTCAGGAAAATGGAAGTCAATTGCCTCCATGCAGGGGTAAAAGCATGAATTACATAGGGTAATTCAGTTCCTCATCAGCCTTCTGTTCTATTCACACATCACTTCCAGCTCCATTCAGCAACCACAATTTTATCCATCAAAAATACTGAAATGTGCTAGTTTCCTGCTAGGTCTGGTCACCCTCTCACCATTCTTGGTTTCTTCCAAAGCTTTCCCCATGTTCCTAGTAGCTTCAGAGCCCATGACTTTAATCAGGATCCGAAGCAGATGGAACAAGTTCATCATAGATACCTGCACCTTTATACTACACACAAAGCCCAGGCCTGCAAAAGCCTTCTTCACCCCATCCCTTGCTCTCAGATTCTTCTTAGGGCACCTCCACCTGGCACCTGAGTCAGCACCCTATAAGGTCCAGAGTTGCCCCAACACATCCCTGCCTGCCCCTTGCCCTCTCTGTTGCTCTCGTTGCCCCCACACACACCCCCACACCCCCTGCCCTATCTCACCAGGATAGTCCCTGACAAAGTCCTGGTAGAGGGACCCCAGCTGGTCCCCAGTGATATATCGGGAGGGATCAGCAGGAGACTTGAAATCCAAGTCATATTTGCCATCACGATAAAACTCTGAGGCAGCGACATCCATGCCAATGACAATCTTTTCCGTGTAGCCAGCCTTGTCGATGGCTTCCTTCACCAGCTCCAAGGCTGGGGATGAAACACAGTGAGATTATTAGCAGGAAGGGTGGGCAAGGATGAATAAGGGAAAGGAAGAAATTCAGAGCAGAGGTGGAGGACTTGCTGGGGAGGAGTCTGGCTAAGGTTCTTGTTAGGGTGATTCCCAGGTCTGAGAAGAGAAGACCATCTTTCAGGAAGGCAGAGGAATGGAATTCTATTAATAATAGTTTTTTTTTCTTATTTTTATTATTTTTTAATATTTTTTTTAAATAGCTGTCGTTCATTGAGGGCTAACTATGTCACCTAAGCACTTCATATATATGTTTCATTTAATTCTCACAAGAATGCTATGAGGTAGACACTATTATTAGCATTCCCATTTTACAGATAAGATGAAGCATGGAGAAATTAAGTAAAGAAGATCACCAGCCAGTAACTCTTCAAGTCAGGGTTCAAATGCAGGCAGCTTGGCCTCAGAACCTTAACTCTGAGCCACTACCGGTATTGTTTCTATTCACTATACAGTTTTTCCCAGGACAGAGAAAAGTTAGGAATCCTCAAGGCCTAAGAAGTTGGGGTGGGAATGGGATAGATTTGAATAGATTCCCTGGAGCTTAGTGTATCTCATCAAACTGAAAATCCTACAGAGTTAAAGGCTGGGATGAATCCCACAGGTGACCCAAACCACCTCCTAGCAGTCCCAGGGGCTCCAGTGAGAATTAACAGTTCCTAACAGATCTGGCTGGGCAGGTGAGGACTGTCTTCCAAGGCCTGCATGTGAATGTGGCAGGCCCTCTGGAACCCACTCCAAGGACTGGCACCTCTTGGAGCTAGCAGGAGTCAAGGACCGCCCACCCATACTCCTTAGGACTTGGTGAAGTGTGTGACCCTTCCTGATGGCCCAGGGTGGAGTGAGACTTGGTGTTGGGAGTGGAGCTCTTGGCCTCACCTTCACTGTTCTCCAGGATATTGGGGGCAAAGCCGCCTTCATCTCCCACATTGGTGGCATCCTTGCCATATTTGTCCTTGATGACCCCCTTGAGCGTGTGGTAGACCTCTGCCCCAAGTCGCATGGCATCCCGAAAGCTCTCAGCGCCCACTGGGAGGATCATAAACTCCTGCATGGCCAGCTTGTTCCCAGCATGAGAGCCACCATTGATCACATTGAAGGCCTTGGAGCCACAGGACAGAAAAGTCACTGAGCACTTTCCTTCCTGCCCCTGGGGGTGTTCACCCAAAATCCCCAACTTCCCCCAGCTTCCCAGACTCCAAGTCTCATGTCCCCATCCTTTTTCTTTAGCTGCCCCAATTCCCTTTCCTCTTATTAGTCTTCACAAGGTTTCATGCTCTCCCTGCCCCCACCCCTGGGAGAGGCACAGGCATGGCACAGTGCTCACCGGCACAGGCAGGATGAGGTCTGAGTTCCCCGCCAGCTGAGCAATGTGTCGATATAGGGGCAATTCCCGCTCGGCTGCCCCTGCCTTACACACGGCCAGGGATACACCCAGGATGGCATTGGCCCCAAACTTGGCTGGAATATTACAGAGGAAGGCACTGAGCACAAATGACCCCTTCCCCTTCAAGCCCTTGCCTCCACCTATACTCCCCAAAGGAGCCAGTAAAGGAGACCTCCTCTGCACTCTGCTCTCCTGCAACATCTCGTCTATTCTCTCCTGAAATAGCAGGGGAGGTGGAGGTAGAAAGGAGGTGACTGGAAAGGGCAGAGAGCTGCACTTATTTCTAAACATTCCAAGACCAGACTATCTCACGCCAACTCCCTCCTCTTGGTGCTGCAAAGAGGATCTTCCTCTGTCTAATGTCACTCCCCCCACCCACCCACCCTGCAGTTACTCATCTTCTCCTGCCCTGGCTCTGAGGAGAATATGGAAAAAGAGCTAGTCCTCTGACAGTCCTTCCTCAGGAAGCCCCCACAGCACTGGCCCCTTCAGTTCTCTTTCTGCTCCACGTGTCCCCACCCTCAGCCTCCCCACTTTCTCCCAGTTTCTGCTTACATTTGTTCTCAGTCCCATCCAACTCCAACATCAGGTTGTCTAGCTTCTCCTGCTCCACTACAGAGAGACCCTGCGGGCACAGCCACCATCACCGAGGGCCAGGATGGAGGCTGGGCCCTAAGGCACAGGGCCCCCCCTTCACACACAGGCTCACATCCAGCCAGGAGGATCCAAACAGGTTCCTATGACAGCAGCCTGTCACAGAACTATAAGGAGGGCTATAAGGAGTCATCTCCCCACCCTTCCTTTGGTAACCATGATTCCCAAGGGGTGGGCCTTTCTCCCCCCTCTTCCTTCTCCCCTAACCCAGGATTCCTTCCAGGACCCTGGTCCTGCCACCCCCAGCAAAGAGCAGGCCTCACTGAGCTGATGAGGGCTGGTGCAATGGTGGTGTTGATGTGGTCCACTGCCTTCAGGACACCTGGGGAGAGGCAGAGAGGCTAGACTTGGTCAGGCCGGGAGGGGCCAGAAGGGAAAAGGAAAGGCAGGCATGCAAGGAAGAGGCTTGGTGACTGGTGTGAGGTAGGAGTATAAAGCTGAGGGGTGGGAGAGCTTGGAAAAGAGAGAAGGCCTCACCTTTGCCTAAGTAACGTTGTTTGTCCCCATCCCTTAGCTCCAGGGCCTCATAGATTCCAGTGGAGGCTCCACTGGGCACCGCAGCCCGGAAAACACCTGGGAGAAGAACATGGAGTGAGGAGGAAGAAAGAAGGACACTACAGGGACCAGGGATCCCTTCAGCCTTCCAGCTCTAAACTCCTGCTTGCCACATCAAGCCCTCTTCCCACACTGCTCCCCAGTACACA